CACTGATGAGAAAGTGTTCTTTATGAACTGCCTAGAATTGTTCGAGCTGTGCTGAATCCAAGTGAGAAATACATGTTCGGTTGTTTCAGTTCAGTTCTTCCTGTGACACTTGGGAGCCCTGAAAGCTGGACTGGAATAATCTTTTAAATATGGGAAGCTTTGCAGCAATGGGTGAAAGAAATAAACATGTCAAATTTGCTTGGATGTATCCTGTTTACTAAAGTACGGTTTTGTGTAACAGATATCTGAACGAGTATTACTTTTTAACTGATAAACTTTTTCAGTAATAACACAATGCTCTTGCCCTGTAGTGAAAACACACGGAATGTATCTACTGTGAGTAGAGTTTCTGTAAGGGGTGATATGCCTGTCAATTTTGTGACAGCTTTGTCAAAATCATTGATATAAGTCAATGATCCGAATGGCTGCTATGTTCCAAGCTCCTGAAGGCTGTAGTTTTCTTCCCACTTGTAACTGTTCTTGTCTCCTTTACCCTCCTTTGCACATAAGGAGAGTTTTTCTCTCCCTCTAGGCAAAAGGGACAGTACAGCAACTCATCCGTATTTACTATGTTAAATAATTAGCTCCTGCCATTTTTATTATTTAACATGCTTCTCTTTCTGTAGGAATAGAGAACTTTTCCACTTTTCAGTCTTGCTAAGACATACCTTAAAAGGCCTTTCATATTTAGAAATCCTTCTTACTAGAGTAGGCAAAAATTAAATAAATATTATTGCTTGGGCACTGGTCCCTAATGTCTTCCAAAACAGTAACAGTGAGAGCATTGTTTATTTGACCAGCTTGCATGAAATGTTATCACTCTACATCTAGAAGCCACACCCCACTGCAGGAATTATCTTAATTTCAGGACTGCTAACATTTCCCCTGTGGAAAAAAAATCTCCTCCGACTTCTTTATGGGCTTTCTTCACCTAACAAGGTTACTATGGGAGCACAGTGAGCTTCCCACAGCGATTAGACATTTCTTCAGCGATTAGGTATGTGGAGGATTAACAGAGTACTTGTTTATACTTCCAAAATGCTGTGTAATAGTGGTAATTTCCTGCTCTGTATGCTGCAAAGACAGTCTAAAAGTGAATGTACAGAAGGACTCACTGAATGCAGGATTTGGATGCATCGTCAGCAAGTTTGCTGAAGATGGCAAACTGTGAGGTGCTGCTTATTCCTCTGAGGGACAAGGCTTTGCAGAGGATCTGGATAGATTGGAACATTGGGACTCTGATTACTGGGGTGGAACTTAACAAGTCAAAATGCTGGATTATGCACCTGGAACGGAGTAACACTGAGTACAGCTGTAAACTGGGAGAGAAGTGGCTGGAGAGCAGCCCTGCAGAAAGGGACCTGGGGGTGCAGGTTGACAGCAGGCTCAAAATGAATCAGCCTTGTGCCCTGGGAGCCACGAGGACAAACCACATCCTGGGGTGCACCAAACACAGCCCAGGGAGCCGGTCAAAAGAGGTGGTGGTCCTGCTGTAGTCAGCGTTGGTCCAGCCCCACCCTTAGTACTGTGTGTGGCTCTGGGCCCCACGATTTAAGAAGGGTGTGAAGGTCCTTGAATGCATCCAGAGGAGGGCAACAAAGCTACTGACAGGGCTGGAAGGCGTGTCCTATTAGGAGCACCTGAGGACTCTGAGCTTGTCCAGCTTGGAGAAAAGGAAGCTGATGGGCAACCTCATTGCTCTCTATGGCTTCCTGAGGAGGGGACTTGGAGAGGGAGCTGCTGAGCTCTTCTCCCTGGGACCCAGCAACAAGGCATGTAGGAATGGCTCAAAACTGCATTAGGTAAGGTTCAGACTGCACATTAAGAAACATGTATTTAAGGGTGACAGTGGAGCAGGCTTCTTAGAGAGCTGGTCAATGCCCCATGCCTGTCAGTGTTCAAGGGGCTTTTGGACAATACTCTTAACAAAATGCTTTAACATGGTCAGTCATGAATTGGTCAGGCAGTTGAACTAGATGATTGTTGCAGGTCCTTTCCACCTGGAACTATTCTATTTGAAGTACTTCAGTGTGTTCTACAACAATGTGTTCAGCCCACAGGACTAAAGTAGTGCTGGTTTGAAGTAAAACCCTCTGAAAGGCAGGTGAGTTGGTTGTTGGGTCCTGATTGTGAGTCCCTTCACTATATCTCCATTCCCGTTGAGCTGCTGTACCTGCAAGTATACACCTAGCCTATGATGGAGACTGTTTCTCCTGTTGTGTGCTAGTGCTGGAAAACAGAATGTGACTTTCATTTCTAAATACTCTCTTTCAAAATAGTTTGTTGCTCTGGAGACAATGACTTTCAAGGACTGAAGTGGGCAAGTTACTTGCTACTGCATTTTGGATGTATGGGATGCAGCAAAGGAAGCTGGTGGTGGAGATACTGGCAGGACAAATTCTTATGACTCCAGCCTAGCTGTTCTGTGGGCAAACAGAAGGGATTTTTTTCCCCTATCTTTAGCACTTAGGTATAATTTCTTTTGCATACTGTATATTTCATATGCATATTTATTAATTCATTCCCACAGAAGATAAGCTGTACTAAAACTATGATTATTTAAATGTCAGACAAATGTAGTCATCAGCTACCCTTCTGTTCCTAAAGAGGTCATTTAACAACTTTGAATTATATATATATATCACTTCCTTTGCCTATACAGTGCATGACTTTATCCTGTGTTTACATAGATATGTAAGAACACTTATTTTGATTCCAGCATCAGATGATCTCGGTGGAGGTACAGATAAGATGGGGTCTTAAGAGTGATGCAAGTGTTGAAGAAAGATTTACATTCCTGGAGGTGGAAAGACTCGGGCAACTTTTTAAGCATCTTTTTGCCTGCCCAGTCATGAACTTTTCCAGAAACTAAGGTAAGGCATTGGAGCCAGTGTGGCAGTAGCCTGCTACGGTCACACATGAAAGGCTGATTCCTTAGATCTCCCAACTGCCTGCCCAGGTGTGCCAAAAAGAGGTAAAGAAGGCTTCTGTCATTAACTTCATGCCTTTTTCCTGTAGTTTAGATTTGGGGGTAGTGCATTTTAAAGACTCCTATCACAGCCTTTAAGCCAGCTGTAAGAATCAATACAAAGGGAGAGCATCACATCCTTTTTTTTTTTTCCTAATGCAATGAACATGGCTTAATATGAATATCTGTCATAGATTTGACCTTGGCAGGCCGATAGATGCCCATTCGGCTGCTCTTCTCACTCTGCCTCCTCAACAGGACATGGAGAAAATAGGATAAGAAAGCTTGTGGGTAAAGATAAAGATGGGGACTTCATTTACTGTCACAAAATACAAACTCAACTTGGGCAAGAATCATTTATTGCTACTTAGAAACAGAGTAGGATGATAAGAAACAAAAACAAAACTAAAACCACCTTTCCCCCACCCTTCTTCTAGGCTCAACTTGACTCTCATTCCTGACTCTTCTGCGTCCTCCCTCCCCAAGCAGTGTGAGGTGGATAAGGAATGAGCGTTGCGGTCACTTCAGAACCATCTCCGCTGCTTGTTCTTCTTCACACTGTTCCCCTGGTTCAGCATGGGGTCCTTCCCATGGGATACAGTCCTTCAAGAACTGTTCTAACGTGGTTTCTTTTTACAGGCTGCAGCTCTTCAACAACTGCTCTAGTATGGGTCCTTTCCATTGGGTACAGTCCATCTAGAAAAGCCTGTTCCAGTGTGGGTCTGTCATGGGCCACAGTTCCTGCCAGGAACTTGCTCCTGTGTGCGCTCTCTGTGGGCTGCAGCTTTCTTCAAGGTCTCAGCATGGGGTCCTCCACAGGCTGCAGTGTGAATATGTTGTCTGACATGGTCCTCCATGCACTGCAGAGGGACACCCTGCTCCACCATAATCTCCGCCCTGGGCTGCAGAAGAATCTGCTGTAGTGCATGGAGTACCTCCTCGTCCTCCCCCACTAATCTTGGTGTCTGCAGAGCTGTTTCTCTCACATTTTTCTTACTCTTCTCTCTCACAGCTGCTGTGTAGCATTGTTTTACATTTTCGTATGTATGTTTTCACAGAGAAAATCATTATATTTTCACAGAATCACAGAATGGTTTGGGTTGGAAAGGACCTTAAAGATCATCTAGTTCCAACCCCCTTGCTTTGGGCAGGGACACCTTCCACTAGACCAGATTGTTCAAAGCCTCATCCAACCAGCATCCACAGCTTCTCTGGACAACCTGTTCTAGTGTCTCACTACCCTCACAGTAAAGAACTTCTTCCTCATACCTATTCTAAATCTACCCTCTTTCATCCTATAACTAAACTCCTTGATAAAGGTCGTCATCCCTCCCCTCTCCCCCACTCGCCAGCTTTCCATGTGCTTTATTTCCAACGTTTGGAGGGAGTATGTTCTAGTTCCATTCATAGAGAGTCTTCCAGAAGCATGAGGAGTAATGCACTTGAGTAAAATGACTAGGATTTTGCACACAGCTTTTGGTAGTCATGCGCTTCCCTTTGAAAAGCAACGTATGTTTGGCCTGACTACACTACACTTCTTTTACCTATCTGTCTGCTCCTCAGCATGGAAGGAAATTATTTTGGGGAAAGATATTCTGGTGTCTACCAGACAAAATTAGAAGATTTTACTTCTAGCCCTTAAATATCCCCTTGAGTATACAGTAGATGAGTACCTGATCACTTGACTTTGTGATTTAGCTGCATTTTCTTGAATCTTGTTTGGAGAAGTGAAGGTTGGGACAGAATGTGAGAGATCATTTGTGAATGCCTGGGGCTAATGAGCATGTGAATCTCATAGATCCAGAAGTTTCCAGCTTCTGCTCCTTGAGAGGTTCCAGGTCTAGCCAGTTTAGCATTTGTATATGTGTATGTATATATATGTATCTGAGGCATACAAATGTTGGCCTAATATAAAATAATCTTATAGATTAAATGGTATTGTCATTACAGAATATCTGTTGCCAATAAGGCAAGAATTAACACCAAAATAAGGTTTGTTAATGTGACTGTGAGTGGGGGTAATTTTCAATTTTTTTCAGAGTTCTCTAATAACATTAGAAAAAAATATATTATTTATTTAAAACTCCTGCCATTTGGAGTCAAAACTTTCAAAAGTAACTAGTTGTTTTGAGCTGCTCCATTTTTGAGGTGCATTGTAAGAAACCTGCTTTTTCTGAAAATTCCACACAGACAGATAATTTATATGCAGATAGGAATTTTGCATTGAAAATCTTCGCTGAATTCTTTTTAACCTATGATATGCAGAAGCCCACCAGGAATACATTTCTTATTTCCAAACAAAATATTAATTTAGCTTCTTTTCTTCATGGTGTTGCCTGTCCCTAGGTGTGCCTTCCTTTCAGAGAGGATGTTCTGGATGATAAAGCACATACCTGAATCAAAACACAAAATAGTGTAAGAACAAGGGAGTAGAGTCCAAAGTATCTTCATTTGGAAGGAATAGCATGAGCCTTCAGCTGTGCAACTTTGCACAATTCCTTCCGTGAATCTGGGAACAGATCACTGCATCACAAAGGTGAGATTCTTCAAATTAGTGTTAAGGCCACTGTCAGAAAAAAGACTTGGCTGTAATGCAGCCAAATCCAGTTAAAATTTTTCAAAAGTGTTTTGTTGAGAAGGAGAAGCTATTTACATGTAGGTTTTGGGATGGGCTCTTTTTTCACCCATTTGGATAATCAAGTCTTCGTTTAGATACAGCTTTTCATACTAGCTATGAGGAATGAGTGAGGAGGGGCTGCATAAAATAACGGTATGATCAAATGGAAATTGATTTAAAAACAAACAAACTGCAGCAAGTAGCTATGAGGCCAGGATCACTGAAGCAATTTTTATATTTTTGTTTTTTATGTTTATGCTTTACACACAGTGTCTCTTGCAAATTCAATTATTTGTATTCAGAAATTGAAACATCTGGTAACAAACTCCCCTGTACTGATCTGCATTTGTGATTTGATTTTTTTTTGTTTCTGTTGCCATAGGCATCCAAGTTATGTTGAGACCCAACTTCCTGGAAGATGAGATACTTACCTATAAAGAGCACTAGCAGGTACATTTTCAGAACATAGGGGAAGTAAATTGAGAAGGCGAATGGAAACAGTAGCTTGATGGAGTATGTGCCAAAGGATTCAAAATAAGGCAGTGAAACACAAATTGCAAACGCTGTAAAATAACACGGTAGTAAATCTTTAGTCAAAAGGAGGTGAAAGGTCATCAAAATGCTTCGTGTAAAACTCAGTTGCCTTTAAGGCAGAGATACAAGCCACGTTGTTTGCTGAATTTACCATATCACTTGCACATTTTGTTTTCTCCCTGACTTCAGTTTTGTAGTTCTGAGGTTCTAATCACTCTTAAAACTAGAATTAACAAGTATTTCCCATACAATAGCAAATGCTGGCACTTCTGTCATTGCACGGCTTTCAATATGGTCTCAGTGGGCACACTTCCTGGAGTAAGGAAGGTAAGCTGCTAGGCATGGCCTGAGCCAGTACTGTCAAGCTCAGCCAGGGAGAAGGCAGGTTTAGGACTTGCTGCCTGGTGTTATCAGTTTGGAATGGGGGAAGTCATGTGTCTTCTGTGAGAGTATTTTTGTGCTTTACCCAGAAAAATGAATGTTTTCCCATATTCTTACAAAACAAAAGGGGGAGAGGGGGCAACAACAAACCCAGAGACAAGCCCCTGGTACCCCTATTAAGGAAAAAAAAGTACAGAAAAGAGAAAAATAAGTGGCTTACACGTTATTCTGAGAGTACATAATCATTTATGACTACTTCAGCAACACAAAAAGAGATATTTTAAACACCAATGACAACTGAACTGATCAAATTTTATTGAAGATTATTAAGGAAGCAAGTCTTTGGTACCTTTCCTGTCTCCTTACCTTTAGCCAGAACTGAGAGAGGATAGAGCAGGATGCACAGGGAGAAGTTGAGCCATGTCAGTGGTAGGTAGTATATCCCCATCCTTGCTAACATGTTGTACGTGTACCTGCAGCAAGAGGAACAGCAGATGAGCTCAGAAGGAGTGGTCATGTCTTCAAAATAGTAGAATATTATTGAAAAAATCCAGGGAATTGCAGAAGAGCTTGGAGCTACCTGTATGAGAAGATTTTAGGGCTGTAGCACGACAGTTTTGTTCAGGCTTCAACTGATGACTGAAAGTAGGTGGTTCATTGTTTCAGGAAAGTTGTATGTGGCACTACCCTAGAGCAGCAGACAGCAATACATCCCTCCTGCCCGAAGACTCTATCAGAAATGAGCATGATTTCATACTGCTCCATCAGAAAATGGATCTCAGGTAGGGATGTTACAACAGAGAGGGGCAGGCAGAATATGCCTGTTGCTTGGGGACTGAGAACATGCTGTTTTCTGGCTGCTGAACTAGCTAAACCTCTGCTGGAAGAGGCTAACAGCAAGGTGATCACAGATACTTAATCTGTAGCAGCTGCCCCTCCCGTGGACCTCAGAAGGGGCAGTAGGCGCAAAAAAAATCAGTTGCACTCCAGTGTATTGCAGTGTTTTTTTCTTACTGTGGCTGTTACTGTTGGTCATTGGAAGACTAGAATATGCCTAGGACTTGAGTCTCCACAGGTGAGGTAATCTGAGCTAGTTTGATCTACAAGTGATACAGCAGCTTTTCAAACAGCAGAGAAACAGGTCTGATCACATTTTTAGGTCACCTGTAAGGCTTTTTTGCCCTGTGATCATGCCAGAGATAAAATTTTAAGCCACTGGTTCTGACAGAACCAGCATTAAACAGACTTTCTGTATTCCCTTCTTATATATTCATTTGATTACTTTTGCATCATTCCTGAACTGTGAAAGAGTTCAATAGGCTGTAAATCGTATTGCCTCAAGTCTGCCTTCTGCAAAATCAGAGTTGTCTCTGTTTTTTATTATTGTTGCTTTTAAGGCCTATCTCAACCCAGTACAAAAAGGAAGCAACTGCTCCTTCTCTGTATGCCTCCTTTGGCTGTTTATTGTGTGATTGGGAAAGATCAGATACAGAAAACCTTGCAGAATTTTCTCTCAGTGTGTCATTAAACATAATGCACAGGATATTTATGTCCCTGAAAAACTGTGGAAGAACTTGTAATACTTAAAGACTAGGTGGCTAAGGGGCAGGATAGATTCCTGTACACTTTCAGGCATGACCGTTTGTTTGAGATGCAAGAACATGGCACAGATACTGTAAAATAAATCAGGGAAGAATTTTAAATCTCTATGAGTTGTAATATGGATTATTATTTGATTTGGTCATTTGCTGCTATAGATTGCAGTATCTTGCCTATTAAATAGACACTGTTACTACTGTGATGCTGGACTGTGTTCTTCAGCGATGATGGAAAATAAGGGTGAGTGGATAGGACTGTTAATGAACGGACAGAACTTTATAGCCAGTATTGTCTGCACATTTGACCTCTCTCCAGCTGCACAGAACCTTTTCATTTGAGATTAGGTTGTACTATTTTAGCTTTACAATCTTCAAAAAGAAATTGGATGAGGAATAATGTAAATAAGTAATGCAAGTAATAGTTTATTAACTCATGTAATACAAATACCCTGAAGCTGACTTAAAAATCTTTATCAGTCCTACCTGACACTTGTGCTTTTTCAGATCTCTTTTAAAACATCCATTTAATTTCTGCCTAAAACCATATTCTGCATTCAGTGCCCAAACCAATGTATTTAATATAGCAAAAAGCTGTATTAGCAGAAAGAAAAAGGATAAAGAAGAAAATTTTCTCACATAGAAAATTTGCTCTTGTTAAAATGCTTCTTAATTCCCTGTGTTTTCCCTGCTGTAAGTCTCCAAACTGAGGTCCATAGAGGCTTTAAGTTGCATTTGAGAAATGTTGCCGACTTCAGATACCAATGCAAAAGTCAGTAATACGGAATTTGCACCATTATACTTTTACCACAGGGAGTTACTGGTTATCTTATACCCTACAAAATTTTTGAGGTGAACACCCTGAATTGTAGTCCTATCCATTTTGCTTCATGTCCATGCAGTGTGATATATGCCCTACTACAACAAAATCCTCAGTCTGTGCAGCAGGAGCTCTTGGCTTTTTGGAAAGCACAGCGCAGTTAGCCCAGAATAGTCTTTCCGTCTTAGCAGGAAGTTCTGCTGCTATCTTACTGTGCTGTCATTCTTGGACTGCAGTGAGATGTTAGAAGTAAATAAATTACACATTAAAGCCATAGGATTGTAAATCAGTTTCAGAAATTGCTGTTTCCTGGCAATTAGTTGTGATTGCCTTCTAAATTTTTTTTTAAAAGTTGAAAGCCCTTGAACTACAAATGTTAATGCAGTGATTAACTTCTGTAAATTACTGCCTCTCAGCTGTGGATTTTTGTAAAAATTAGTAAGTAGCTTATAAGGCCCAAGCTTTTAATTAAAATTAATAATACGCTTTTCTACCAATTTCAGAATAATGAAATGAACCTGGAGGACTGTGGAGTGGGGTTCTGCTTGCAAGAGTGACCCATTTTCTCCTTGTGGTTTTGCCATTGACTACTTACCTGACCACATCTAATAAATTCCAAAGGAAAAATAAAATACACACAATGTATTTCCCTTGAACTTCTTCCTGACTGTTGATCACAACAAATAAAACAATTATTCTCTCAGTGATCTGAAAAGAAAAAAAAAGAATTGTGAATTCAGGTAGTACCTTCTATAGCTCTCATTTCTGTGCCCGTTTACTGAAATTGGAGGCTACAGGTGAATCCGATTTGCTTTACACAAATGCTGCGGTCGATATTTCACTTCTTGGTCTTCTTTTGCTCTAAGCCCTGTGGGCCTGCAGCTCGGGGAACTGAAAACTGTTGGCTGCAGCGTCATAGATCTACTATGGTAAGGGTGGAGGTTGGCTTGCCAAGAGGAACAACCTGGGTTTGTATCCCAGGAAACCTGTGGATCAGCTTGCTGAGGTCACAGGAGCAAGGACTTCTCCCAGTGCACCCTGGTGCCCGGAGGGCTGGTGGGGGTAAGCTTCCTTAATTGTAGGCTGCCATGGGATACAGAGGGTCCTTGGGTGGGTAGTATGCCCGGCAGTGCTCATCTCCCAGCCCCAGCTTGGTTTTGCACAGCCTGGAGACCTGCGTCCCAAACAGATATCTCACACGTAAGTTTTGCAGAAAGGAGGAGGGGGAAAAGTCGAATTCCATGTTTCTTTTCTCCTTGTTGCTGTCTAGTAGAGGTGGATTTGAACTTGTCATTTGTGGGAATTATTGCCATAATGTTTATGTAATAACATTTTTCTAGTGGTTGAACCTTATCCAACCCACAATGTATGGCTTTACAAATGCAAAGATAGAAAAGTGGATTAAATGGGCGGTGTCTCCTGGTTAAAAAAAATACTTGGGCCACATTAAAGCTCAAGAAATAAAAGAACAATGTGGCTTTTTGCAGCTTTCTTGGACAAGTTTCCTATCAAGATCCACTCCCTGCCCTGTAAAATAAATATTCACTAGTGCCAACAGTTGCTTGTGACACTCACAGAACAATACCTGTTCACTCTGATCTACACTGCTTGAAAGTGCTGGGGGAGAAAACATGCATCTATTCAGTTGGTATAAACTGGTATAGCTTCAGTGGGGCTTTTAATACCTACTGCCATCTCCTTCATAAAGTACCTTAGGTTTAAGGATTGTATGGGTTAAGATGTCAAGTCAGTGAAAAGTCATGAAATGAAAACAGATTAACATGTTTTTTATAAGCACAGTCATTCTTCTGCACCGGTTTTCCCCTTCCCCTTACTCCCACCTGAAACGAAATAAGAACTTGGCCTCTCAGCAGGTTTGTGTGGTAGATTTGCTCCATAATGTTTACTGGTTCCTGTGCAAAACCTTTTGTCTACAGATTTTATTTTTTTTTTTGCAAACCACATCTGTCAAATAAAGCAGCCATCACTTCACTATTCAGCAAAGTTACGTGACAGCAATTTTTTGTACAGAAAAAGAGCATATCCATCCCCGAGGGATGTGGTTCCTTATATTGAAAAGCACTGAGGGGCTACAGCAGATAAAAATGGTTTTGCTGCTTCTCACCCTGCCCTAACTGTCATTTTGTGCTGCTGATCCCATTGGTCCCTAACTGAGGAACTGATTTCTAAGAAGGTCAGGTGCTGACGAACTTCGTTATAGAGAGGTCAGGAAAGAGAGAGTGGGAGGTAAAATGTTCTCTGTGTGTACACTGATGCTGAGAAGCCTGGCAAGAAAATGGGGGAACTGGAAGCAGAGATGCAGGACCTGAAACCAGATACAACATAGTTAGGAGAAGCGTGGTGGTACAACCATCACAAGAGGGAAATAAAAACAAAGGTAAAAACAGTGTGAGCATCGAATGGGATTGTGTGCTGCAGGGAATGAAGAAAATAGAGCCCGAGTTAAAATTTTGTTGAAGGGTGGTAAAAGAACGCAGCATTGGTTGTGTGGGCACCTTGTTACCAAACCTGAAATTGGCCTGGGATGGGGAGAGAGAGTTCTGCCACATTGCTAATATGAGAGATGTTTCTTTCATAGCACTCATACCTTTAGGTAACCCACACCAATGGCAGGTAGATGCAGGGGTTACTCAGAGGCTGAGGACTTTTTCATCAGGTGACAAGGCAAGGCACTGCTTAAAGAAGAAGAGATTCCACTAAATGTCTGCGGATATTGTGTTCCCTATAAAAACTTCTGTATACATATATATACGTGAGGTCATGTTCATCTATGAATAGACACATGTATCCATATGTAAAAGTGTGTGTATATGTACATACATATATACACATATATATTGAAAGCATGCATTGCTGCTCAGCCACAGCTCATTTTTTCTAAGGATCAACTGTCCTTGCATGAATGAAATTATGGGATTCTCTGTTGCTACTCCCTTGCTTAAAAAAAAAAAAAATTAAAAAAAAAAGATGCAAAACTAGAAGTCCTATGTTTTCATGTTCATAAAAAGGAAGTGTGTGGTGACACCTCACAAAACACAAATACAATGGTTTCATTTTTCATTCCTTCTTGTTCTTTGTGTTAAAATCAAACTGGAATTTCCTCCTTCTCCCAGCACTGGTCTCTCACAGGATACAGCAAGTTCTGTAGAATGGCATAAATTTCCACAAGGCAGCCTGGGCATTTGAAGCAAGTAAGTGAAACAGAGCAAATTAGACTAGCTGGGGATAGAGCAAGAGCAGACAACACATTCATTTCCAGTTTTTAGTAACCATGACTGTGTAGTATTGTACTTGGTACCTGAAACCGTACATAGCTCTTTGATTTAGTAAGTGTTTAAAGGAAAAAAAAAAAGTAAGAAAAGTGCTGCTAAATATTTAGAATAGGTTCAGAGTTAGTGTTTGTATCACAAAGCCATAGTACATTGCTTTTGTTCTGGTAAGTGCAATTCTGTTCGTGCAAGATGAAGAGCTGGTGTTTTGTTTGCAAAAAGACCACTCTTTTCACATCTCTGTCCTACTGTCTCCCTTGCTAGGGCACGGATGCTAGTCCCATCAGCCATTACTCCCTGGCCAGACTACTAAATTACATTACCCTCTGTTTTGGCAGCTGCAATGACATACAGCATGTTCTCCTGTTTTCCTCACGATCATTCAAGCTGCAAATGTCCTGAGAGACATACCTCTGCAACAACTTGGTGACCCTCCCTTTTCATCACACAGGACTCGTCTGTCATGGTGTGACTTGGCCTTGGCCTTCTTAGGTGCCTTATGGCCTGAGACCTTGTGCCTCTGTGAGGCCATCTTGAATGGGTTTTTCCAGAAACCATCTCTGAGTTTGCCTTTCCACTATCTGTAATATGTACCTCAAAGTGTTCCTTGTACATGCTACTAAACCACAGTAAATGGAGTATTAGGCAGAAATCCATCATTCAAACCCTGCTTAAATCTTGTATCTGCTATAATGTCTACAAAACAACCAGCTACCACAGGGATCCTTTCACAGCATGCTTTTTTTTCAAGGTGGCATTATCTCCATCTATATGCTTCCCTGACATTGCCAGAGGAGATGAGATGAACGTCTCATGTGATGGTGAAGGTGAGCCGAGATGAACCTAAGGTGAACTTCATTGTGGGAGTGCTTGTGTGTGCATGGCCTGAGGGATGTCCTAAGCTTGGAGTAAGAACAGGTGGTGGGAACGCAGAACAGAGCAACCACTATCAAGTTCTTGCAGCTTTACTGGTGCCCTAATTATGTGCAGTAGTCCAGTAGGCTGCAGTGAGGTAAGCATCTCTTAACTAACTGTCCTTCCTCAGTTCATTGTGGAAAACATATCTTTTTTTTTTCCCTAAGAAGCAAGGAGGAAAGTGTGGCAAGGCAGATGGGAGTACTGTTGGCACACAACTGTTTAACCTGCACTCTCACAGCAAAAGCAACGCAACCCAACTGAAAGTGGAGGCTACATCAAAGAGCTTCTACACTTTGCTTGGACAGCATGAGATCACTGCTAACATCAAGGCAAGAAAGTTGTACTTGCAATGAGAAAGAAGAAAGTAAGGATCCAAAGCTATCTTCATTACGAGGCAAATGTTCGGAGTCACAGTGCTGCATCATTTCCTCACCCACCTTCTGCCTGCAGCCCTGGAGAGCACTGCAGTAATGGCAGTGCCCAAGAAAGGTCACAGTTTTCTTTCTCAGAATATCCATTTCATATCTTGTGGTGACAGAGAGCAGTGTTTGTGCAGGCGTCCCTGATCTCTGGCTCTGTAGGGCTGGGTTGGAAAGGAACAGACTATGTCAGGGTTGGGGAATGTATAAACGCTGCCAGGGCAAGCCTTGCTTTGATTACTATTAGCAGCCTGATCTTCTCTCCAAGAGCTGATGTGAGATTTGTGACAGGGTACTTCAAATAGAATACTTTTTCATAGATTAGTGTAAAAACATGTAGATTCAGGCAGGGAAAAAGAGTTAATTGCATTTTGATGAATTTACTACCATGCTTATACTGAGCAGCATAAAGAACAGATATCTGGTTAGTCAATGAATTTCTAATGGAGGTTTAAAAAGAGGAACATCTTTACTCATGCAATATGTCACTTGAAAAAAAAAAATGGGCTATCCAGAAAACTAAAAACATAACTAACCACTCTTAGTCTTCTACCTTCTGACTGCTGAAAGCAATATCAAGTTTCACCATTATTCAAATACAAAGGATTAGAAAGGTTTGAAGGTAAACTCAAGTCAATGTTTTTACTTTTTCCAATGCGTTAAGAAAAATACCAAACCCTGAGATTCACTCCCAACAGAAAACAAGAGTGTGGTAAGGAAAATGTCAGAAAGTCATCTTGGTTTCTGCTATAGCATGTGATCTTCTGACTGATTTTCTGCCTACAATTGAACATATGCCCTGTTAACAGCATCAGAACCTCTAGATGTTGCCCACAATGGGCCCACGTCTGGGTTTGAGAGGGCAGAGACCCTTGCACCCATTCTCCTTTCTTTCTCCCAGCATTAATTCTTCTTCAGTCCCTTAATTTCTCTAATAGCTTCTTTTCCTTCCACACCCCATGTCCACCAGCAAACCCTGCTTCAGGAGGCTTGACGTGCTGATGGTTTTCTCACTGCCATCCATTTACTGCCCACAGAATTGTCTACAAAATGAATGTGTATTTGTCACTGAGGGAATGGCATGGAAAAGCATTAGCTACTGAAACTCAGGCTTTAAAACATTTTCTTCTAGCTGTAAACAAGTTGGTTGGGGAGGTAGTACCCCTAGCCAGCTGTGACACCCTAGAAATGAGGGCTGTTCCATTTCTGCAGGTGGCCCCTGCTCTGGACATCTTGCAGGTTCCTGCTATTGTGGGCTGGTTGTGGGGCACTGACTATTCGGTTTCAGTCTCAAATAAAAACTGCTGAGAGAGCAGTTCAGAGGGCTCCATCCCTGCAGTCAGCACACGGTTAGCAGGCCAAACTCCCTGCAGGAGGGTGCAGGTGGACCACCCAGAGCAGTTGAGTTTGCAGCCATGACTAAAGTGTGCAGGTCACGGAAGGAAGGTCTTAGAAAATGGACTTACTTGCAAAAACCTGGGTAAGAGGCGGCTTCTATCAATGCCAATGAGGATGTGTAGGATCTCCAGTACAGACAACAACTGGCAAAGGCGCATTACAAGTCCTATGGAGTAAAATGTGTCGGCCAACGAATCTACAGATAAAGTGAAGAGGAAAATTAGAGGTTGATTATATAGTAGTGTGGGCCAACTACTGTGTTTGCTCTTGCTTTGTTAGGTCTGGGCATGACAAGAAATAAAAATTCACATGCTATCAAACTTTTGGGTAGCAGAAGCAAAGCTTCATGGTGGGGAGCAGTCAGTCCACTCTCTGTGGCTCTGACACAGAGGCAGGAAGCTGAGAAAAGATCCCCTATACTTGATGCACTGGCGAACACCCTACAGGATGTGCTGGTCTAGAGATACTACTTCAGGATATTTCTGATATGAGAAAGTGTTGAGGAACTGTATGAAGAATGTATAAACATGAGGAGATGTTGAGTTCCTGCCTGTATCTGCACCCCTGCCACCTCCAAAAACAAGAAGACCACAAAGGAGGTGTTTTGTGTGCCTACAACTATCCACCATTTTAAATAATTTTACATTTCCAGTCACTACTTTTCTATTTTTGTGCCTTAACCCAGACAACAGAAAGAGAAATATGTTGTAATGTTTTTGAAGCTAGAGAGTCATGTGCAATAACCACAAAGATATTCCTTCCTAGTGGCTTACTAAGATTAACATTTACCATAATGACTGGACCTTTAGACACGTTTAGGTCTATGTCTAAGTCAAATGGTACTAACACACTGCTGAATATTAAAGCTCATCAGCAAAACAAGAGCTTCACTCCTGATGTGATACAGGCAGAACATAGGTACTGGTAATTTGTTCATCTTTTTAATGGAAGAAAGAAGGTTTTTCTAGTTGAATTTACAGCCCCAAGATATTGGACAGACACCTATTTAGAATCCTAACTTTATCTCTAGTTTGATCTTTCTGTGTGTCACTGCCTCTTAAAAAGTTTAAGGAAAATATACAAGGAACCCTACCTTTTCCAAATGACATGAATCTGATGATCATATTTGTAAATATCCACGAATGTCCACAGAATTGTGTTAAGTCATACACAAAGAGGTAGGTGTTCATGGTAGAGCTGTGGAAGTAGAAATGATACAGCAAACTGTACAACTTACTACAGCATTCAAGCTTTTTAACCTGTGAACATGTTGGCAGAAACCAAAGGAGAAGGGATGAAATTTAAATAGATCCATGAAAATTGTCTGTGTCTGTCAGTGGTCACAGAGCAGTAATATAAGTAGTTTGTCCCTAGTGGATCAAAGGCTGCCTTTGTTGGCATACCTAGGATATGCCCAGGAAAAAATTCTGAGTTTCCACCAGTGATTAGGGTTATCTGTCATCATAAAGTGAAATTTGTGTCTCCAGAGGAAAAAGTAACTGAAGACACCATTCAGTGCTGGATACATTACTTTCTTATCTATTCTAACATGATTTTCATAGGTAATTTGACTTCTGGCAAAATTTCACAGGCTCTGGAGATACTTGATTTCACTTTCCCATAAAAATATTTTCCTCTAACTTATTCCAGAGAGAGAGGATTGTGTGTCCTCCAGGTATGAAAAAGATTGCCTACCTTTTCAGCAAATGAGTTTGTTAATTCTGTTTTAGAATTTACCTCCTGTGTTTGACCAATTAATTTTCTGCCCAAATAAGTAGTAGGGTCTCTTTAAGCTGCCCCTTCATACAGTGAGTTCATGTGATATGTCTCTGGCACCAAACTTCGTCTCATTTTTATCTGTACATTAACAAGCATGGTGAATTTCAAGACCATAATCCACAATACACACTTCTGTAAATTGATGTAGATAAACTGATCTTCTGAAATTTTAATCTAAGTATACCCCATGGAGGTCACAGAAAATGTCTTTTTTTTCTCTCCTCCTGCTATGTAGTATGGCTACTATTCATATCATCACTTCTGTAAGCACAGACAGATTTGTTGGCATAATTTACCTAGCAAGAGACATCAGTGCCCCTTGATACTATGAAAATAAGACACATGAGGATGCAAACAAAGGAATGTATTCCATTAACACTCCTTTTGGGAAAAATATGGTACAACTGAATTGGACTAAAGTCCAGTGAGCTCTGTAAATATTGACCCAAAATCCCATCTGCTTGATTACCGAATGACACTCATAGTCCTTTAAATAAAAAAGGAACACTGTACGTTACAAAAGCTCCAAAATTAAGAACATTGTTCTAAGAAACAGACTTATTGCTGGATTGATGGGAGTTACTGTAATGAATGTGGAAGTTACAAAAATCTTGAAGCTTTCTAGGTGGCACCTCTGCCAGTCTCTTTGGTCTGATGCTGCCACGTGGGCTTTGCACAGGACGCAGGCAGAGCGTATGGTTTCTCTCTCCCTACGAAGTTTAGTTCGCTACGTCTGCCTCTCCTCCTCAGAACTTGTTTCTCAGTGATTTGGGTTTATTTTCTGAGCTGTTTATCCATTGGCTGGCTGGAGAATTGTTGTATTTACGATCCTTAAGCCGCTTAATCTTGGCTAAACAGGGTGTAACCAAGAGGACATTTGCAAATGCAGCTTCACACTAGTGTTTTGGCAATATGGTGGCCGTTGCACGTTAAAACTTGGCATCATTAAAATGCACTTTTGACTACTGGAATGTATACACACTGCTGGCTTTTATGGAGTGCCCCATAGTCCCCATGGAGTGTAGAGATGTGCTGACAGGCAGCATGCCAGCATTACCTGGAGGAGGGTGCCAGACTCAGAGCCGTGAGCAACACTGCTCCCCCACTTGGTGATGCTCCCCACTGTGTGAAGGCACAGCCTGGGTCTCAAAATGGAGTTTCACTCTGTTAATTCCCACACAGCAAGCACCTGAGACCAATCAGAAGCCTTTAAGAGAAGTGAAGAAATCTGCAGACAATAAAAGGTGATTTGAATGTCATCAAAGGAAACTGAAGTGTAACTGTTCCCAAAGGTCTTTCTCATCGAAAGACTGACCTCTGTGCCTAAAGAACCAGAGGCAGACTGATACCTTATTTCACTAACAGTTTTGCATCACAACACAAAATTCAGCTGTTTTCTTCTATTTGAAAGGTCACTTGCAGAAGAGATGGGCTTTAATTAGGTTTCCTGCTCCCCTTGACTCAAAGCAAGCATCATTGCACGTTTACATCACAGAGCTTGCTTCTGCAGTACCGTTGAAGATAAGTCACTGAGTAGCAACCCAGTAGGTAGCTGTTCAGTTCCTGACTTGCTGGCTGACCTTTCAAACCTCACTTAGCCTCTGTGGTGCCTCGTTTGTAAAATGGACTCGCTGCTGCATTTTCTTGTAGTGTGATGTACTTAAATGCTTTCAAGTTGCTTTCACTTGAAGGCGTTGGGGCAGCACTGCACATTTCAGTACTCTGCCTGCATTGGTGACAGGAGAAAGAAACAGACGAGGGGCTTGCAGTACAGAGACCCAGAAGGCTGGATCTGACATCTATTGTTTCAGCTGTCGGTTCCACAATTTATTGCAACTGATTTTATACCAAATATCTTGAAATTCTACAGATGCATTTGTCATATTTAGGATCAACTTTGCTTAGGGGAAAACTTTATCTCCTTTCTCTCTGGGCTCAAAACCTAGGAAGCAAGATAAAACATAAGATCACTCAGAACTAGCACACACAGCAGCACGGCCCCAAACATTCTCTTTTCCCTTTTATCCACCAGCAGAGATTTTACCGATGATACAGTTTTGTCTTGCAAAGACCAATGTATTTCTAAAAATAGAAGAAAAATCACATAATTGTTGCATTTTATTATTTTTAGCGTGAGGGTCTTCAGTGTGTCTCCGTGGTAGCTATCACCAGAGGTAGGTACAGAGGCAGGAGACACCAGAGAGTGGTCAGGACCGTGTCCCCCTTGAGCTAAGGTGTCGACACGGCAGCGGCACCCAGCCCGGGGCAACCCTTGCCCTGGTTAGGCGTCCCTTGCAAGGTGCCAGGAGAAAGGCGTTCTCGAGTCTCTCTCAGGGGGGGTCGCACCCGGGCCTGTGTGAGCTGAGCACTTCCCTGCCTGCAGGGCTATTGCGCTCCGCTGCCTTCCCGTGAGCCCGTCCTGGCTGCCCGCACATGAGGAAGCAACCCTCGCACTGAAACCAGAGACTGATCTTCCTTTTTTTTTTCTTTTATTTTTCTCTAGGAAAGGTCTGATGAAAAAGCCCCTCTGCTGACACAGTTTCCTTTTAAGTCACATTGGTCTGAACTTCTATCCTTCCCCGCCCCGTGACAAGCTGCAAGCGCTGTAGCTCAGGAAGAAGAAAGCTGCTGAGAGCCGGTACAAAAGATACACTTTTATCTCACAGGCACATCCCAACCCTCTTTTTCTCCTCCTACCTTTTCTCATTTGAGCAGCCTAGGTCACCTGTGCCTAAGAGATGTTACCTGTTGCAGGCGTCGTGTTGCTGCTGCTGCTCCTGATCTTTCTCCTTTTTTCTCTCTACAGCTGCAACAGCTGTTTGTTAGGAGATCACCCCTCCTCTTTCCTCTTCCCCCACCCCACGACGTCACCATATGTAGCTCTAAGCAGGAACAACACTGCGCTTCCCGAGAAAGGAGCTTCTAACCCCAAATATCTCCACTCCATTTCCCCTGCTCCTCACCCAGCCTAGCCTAGCCTAGCTTAGCCTAGCCTAGCCTAGCCTAACCTAGCCCAACCTAACCTGACCTAGCCTAACCTAACCTGACTTGACCTAACCTGGTTTGTTTCTATCGTACCATTAAGCTGGTCTGTAAATCCCACTTTGCCTCTTAACGCAGAGCAATATTTTGAAGGATTACTGGAGAGAAGAAATGCAAAATAAAAAATCCATTTTTATCTTCTGTTTAAATCATCAGCACTACGGCAATGCTAACAACACTATCAAATGTTAAGGAAAGCTTAGAGCATAGAATAAAAGGAGCACTTCAGATAGAGCAAAGAATTTTCAACTTCTTATCTAGAAAGATCTATTATTGCCCCTGTGAAATATGGACACTTCTGGCAGAGGCAAGGTGTGTGTGTGCATCCTAGTTTGCTTCTGCCCTTAAGTGTCTGGGATATCTCAGCATAAATCGGATAAACAAGAGTGCCATAGCATGTTTATAAACTCCTTTCTGTGAACAAATGCCTTTTCCCACTGACACTCATGCTGAAAGCACATGCCATCCTACAGTGAAATTTGACATCTGATGTTATGACTGGAGAAGTCATGAAGGACATAATGAGCATAAGATGTTATACGTAAGTACAAAAAGCCTGGGGAATAAAAATATGCCTCATTCCTACTGTGAGTGGTGCTGAGCTCCTGGCAAGACCATCTCCTCTTCCTGTGGTGTCCTGGAGTGTTGAGAAATAAATGCCTTCCTGGCAAGCAAGTGATTTTCTGGCAAACACAGTGTTCTGGACACCGTGTTCCTCCTGGTTATGTCTCCCATCTGGGACCTTAGCTGGAGGATCATGCAGTTATGCCTGGCTTCCCTGCTGGTGTGCCAGCTCACTTTTACTGCTCCAAAATCATCACCTTTTCTAGGCTAAAGAGTATATTTCTTTCTCAGAAGGAAATAATAATTCAGCATTAAATAAAGGGTTAAAAAAATGGCTATTGAAAGGCTCAGCCCATGGCTTTTGCACAACAGGTCCCACACCACATGGCTCTGGGAGGACATTTGGTGTGGCTAATAATGCCAGTGGGTTTGTGAGCCCTGTGCCTTGGCTCCACCACTGCAGTGCACTGCCACTCAAATGGGTGTATTTCTAACAGCTTTATAGTTCAGGTCAGAAATGCACCTTTGAAAAAAATTTTCTAGTCATTGCAGCGTGCAGTGCCCCCTTCCTTAGCACTGAGCAGGCTTGGGGTGCACCAACATCACTCCTTCCATGCTTCCTCACATATGTGGTGTGTGATGTCTTTGCAGTTTACAAAGATGTTAAGCGGGCGTATTCAAATTCTTCCCTGGGAGATGTAGAGTACAGTTCGGCCAGTGGGTTGTGGTAGATCTGGCTAATCAGACCAGATGGCAGCCCTTAGGATCTGTTTTTCACAAGCAAAATCCTTCTCTGAAATACAAGG